CCTGCTGAATGCTGAGGCATGTAGGCCCTGTGGGTATATGACTGTGCAAGGTATTTTAAATACTAATTAAAAAGAGAGAAAGGAGTTCTGTTAAAAAGATTGCCAGTTCCCCAAAGAAAATAGCCTTTGTGTATCACTTTATACTAGTGGTGACAGAAAATACCACAGAGTTACATACATATTTTTTGTCTAGAAGTATTTACAACAACTTTACAAACTTTTATATACATTTCCAGGTTTTCTTCTTTACTTTTAAATTAAGAGCAAAATTAATCCCCCGAGGCTCCTAAGGCTGCAGTTGGTGCCTATACTTTACATTCATGTGTGGCTTCTTCCTGGGGGAAGGGAAGAAAAGAGTTTACAAATGTGCAGATCACAGACATCTAAAGAGTCCTGCATTTAAGGGTTCCTAGATGTCAGCATCCATACAGAATTGCCATTTTACTTCTCTTCGGATTGCAGAAAACTACTATTGGTGGGCTCAGGGCAAAAGAGATTAAAGAGGGAGAAGGAGCCATATATGAATTGGAATAATTAGATGAGTATATTAGTCCTGGAACATCTGGCTGAGAAGAGTCATAGACCAATTCCTACTGCATACAGTAGTTTGAACAATGTAAGCAGTGGACACTGTGAATTTTACATAGAGCATTGAAAATGATCTCTTTTACATTGTTAGTATTTGACTCCTGACACATATTTTGAGGTCAAATTTACTGTTTACTGACACAATCTTGACCAGGCACAGTATAATTCCATCAATCAAGAAATACTGACTTCCTTGAGAAAGACAAATCTTTCTCATAGTTTTCACTGGTTGTTTTGTTTTCATGCCTTAACACTAAGCGTTGTAAAAATCTTGAAATTAAAAAAGAAAAATTTACAATTTGTAAGGGTCCATAAAAGTAAATTATTCAAAAAAGTCAGGATCATCTACAAGGAGCTACCAAATAACAACGTCGATAATGACACTGAGCCTGTGGGAAGAATAATCCACATGCCGTGAGAAACGGATGATGTGTTTCTTCCAGAACGATGAGTCACAAAGTTAGTCTTTTCTTCTAACATCTGGTTCTTCAGAGACAGCAGAAGTCTTGAGTAAATATTCATTACTTATTTCGACCTGAAAAGCAGAATATATGAATTACTTACAATTGAAAGTTTCCATACCTTCTGTTCTGTCTTATCTACCTTTTACTTTGTGAAATGTAAATTCATTCCTGCTGCCAGGGTAGTAACTAATTAACTAATGAATGGTATAAAAACCTCTGGACATTAATTTCCTCAGCCGTAAGAGACACATATAAGGTCAAGAATAAATGACTGAATATGAAGTGATAGTTTTGTATTTTGGTTGGGTTTAAGATCAGGTGTACCACAAAGGCAAAAAATGTTTGAGGGAAAATACTGCAGGTGGAGAAATGTGCTTGAACTTGTCATAATAATAGTTCTCATAATAATAGATCCTTTTCAGTATAATGTATTTTAACAGTGAAATGTTTCTGCTCACCAGGTTATAAAATTCTCACATGACCTGGTTACAAACACATACATCTGAACAGGATTCACACTATTTGTAGCCCTCACCACAGTCACATGCCCAAATAATCTGTGCATTTTGACATATCTGCCTGAACAGCATGTTTACTTGTGTAATCTAGAAAAAACTGTGATGTTCTTTCGTAGTGATTTCATAGTGGTATAGTGTAGGAGAACATACAAACAGGACAGGATCACATAGACCTATCTCAGGACAGTAACCTCTCCACCGGTTGAGTTTCTCAGATACCATGCACTGGTTCCAGGAGCACAAATTACTACTGTCCTTAGAAATGCTATTTCTCATGGGGTATTTCAGGATTCGGTGTCTCTCCAGACAGGATTGCCCAAGGCTATAGTAACAGTGGATCAGATCTAGTCATTCAAAAGCGAAGGGCAGGCATGGAAATTTTAACCTCTGGAAGCCATTAAAATAAACAAATAATAATAATAAAAAAGGCACGGCAAACCAAAATGCAATTTTTTGTTTTCTTCTAATCCTCTTGTTTTTCTTTTTCAACAAACAGCATGTGGAAGCAATTCTCACTACCATCAAGTGACCTGGCTTTTGATGTTATGCTTGAAACCTGAAGACACAGTATTCTTTATAATCCATGTGCTTTAGTCCCAAAGGGAACAGGATAATTTTTTTCCACTCCCTCTTTTGTGTCCTTCCTTTTGTGTCCTTCCTTTCCCACATCTTAATTGAAACTACACAGGTCAGGGCAATGATTCTGCTTTTGCTTGTCCTGTAGCCTAATAGAGTTACAGGAAGAACCAACAGCAATCAGACGAGCCATATTTGCATTAAGAAATGTTCTCTGTGAGAACATATTTAAGTTTAATCTCTTCCCATAGGTGAAAAGAGCAACTATTCTTAGACTTGCTAATCATTAATGATTACAGGAGAACTAAGCAGAAATTATACTGAATATGAGTACTTAATAAACACTGTGAATGTCTTCTGCATAGTTGGATGAGGTCACAGAACCTTGTATTTTCAATGATGTGCTATGTTTAGTTAATTTACGAATGAAATAAGAGAAATGGATGAGATGGCGAAAATGGATATACAGCCAAGCTATCACCTGTAAAAAGGAACATGCAGATTTTTTTCGACAAGTACAGTGGTGAAGATGACAAAAGATCTGTAACATTTATTAAGGCACTTAATATATTTAACAAGCATTTTTCATATTCACCTCCGAACAAATAGAAAAGTTGTTTTTAACAACCTGGATACTAGAAGTCAAATTTCTTAGGGAGACCCTCTGGATTCTCAGACTGTATATAACTGGTACTGATAGCAATTAACTTGTTGAAAGAAATCAAGCAGGCTGGTGTGCTTGATAAGCATCTGCAAATTGGTGGCTAGTACAGTCCACTGACTATTCACATCGTTTCCTGTAATTTGGCTTTTAACTCAGGCTTAGATCACACATATTATTTTTCCCCTTTGAGCTACTTAACCATCAAAGAACAAGTTCTCAGATTCTCCAATTTTTCTACTGTAAAACAAATGAACAAATTTTGCATGAAACATATATTTAAAAACCTTTTCTGAAAATGTAAATGTTTTCTCTCTTTTAGTGAGTTTTTTTTTAGTGAGTTTACTAAGAAAGCTCTAAATATTTATTCACCTATTACTTTCACCTAATGCTTCAAAATTAACCTTCGTGCAGCTCTAGACATTAAAATCTTATATGGAGAGGTATAAATATCGTAGCTGTGTCTTTCTTTTCTCCTGGATACTTATTTTACATTTTTAGACTCCAGCATCTCATTTAGAATGGTCAAAACTCCATTCTACTGTCCTTTTTCCCACATAAAATACAGCAAAAACAGCATTTCATGAAATATTCATGAAAATGCAGATAATAATATAGTGAAACTACTACTTGAAATGTAGTTAATGTCATGCCAGACCATTCATTACTGTTTATTTTAGTCTTAATGTGATATTTCTTCCTGCTCTAACATACATTGCTATATTGAGATTTTTTTTTTCCTTTTCAGGCTTTCATAATCTCACAGTATTTATCCACTAAAATTGAATGACATTTTATCTGCATTTATTTCTACAAACTGAAAGCTGCAGCATGAGTAAAATGTATTTAATAAAACATGCAAAAAGTGATAAAGTCCCAAGCAAGGTATCAACTGCCCGGCCCAAAATATTTTTTTAGTGATTGTTGTCCTCTCTAAGTTAAAACTCCCAGCTTTTACACACATGCATACACCAGAAAAAAAAGCCTTGATTCCCATTTTAACCCTCATGTCTGATAAGTAAAATGCAGTGAGTCATTGCATCAAGTTCAGTCAGTCAGCTACGCTTGGGTTTCATGTTACATTTAAGATGCGTGAAAGGCCCAAAGGTAAATCTGAAGACAGAAAGCATCAGGCCAACACCTTACAAGCACCTAACAAGAATTTCCAAATGAACATCCTCCATTTCACCAACGTCCTTTGAGGTATCATCTATTTGAAGTTATTTGAGACTCTGCCAAAACACATGTACTGCTAATATCTTCCTGTGCTTTAATTTGTTCCAAATAAAGTGAAATGGCATATATCTAAAATGTTCCATTAGGTGGTAGAAGATACTTCATATGCAGAGACTATGAAAATCATGCTTTAAGTGTGGGAGCAAATAACCAAGAAAAGAGATAATGAAGTTCCAGTGAAAATCTACAGATAGTTTTTAAACTGATAAGTAGTTTTTCAGCAAACATTTTTCTTTCAGTAGCTAAACAAACGTAAGAGCTTCTGCTTTTCCATAAGTGGGTTAATCTCATTAGGGCTTATGCCGTAGCAGCCATAAACCACCCCTGGTCTCGCTAAGAAGTCAGCAGGGAAGCAACTCTATCCTTCACTGCTAGCCTCTCCTCGCATTAAGCTGAGGCACGACATGGTAGATATGGTGATACCTACTAATCCTTGCTTTAGCAGATACGCCACCAATGACAAACTGTATTTACTAGCATATTTTATGTGGATTAATTTTTAATTAGGTTATAATTAAAATATAATTAAATTATTAGTAACCTCATGCCGAAATTATTTCAGGAGGGGGTTAGATTTCAGTCCAGTTAGAAGGATTAAGGTGGTCCTTTGGACCAGAACCTTACCTACAGGCTTTACAGGCTTTAATTCAACATGTTCCTGGGGGGGCTGTCGGTAGGAGTATGTGTCAAGTCCGCCTATGAAATCAACTGAAAATACAACAGTTCCAGAAATGAACAAATGGAAATTAAAATATGTCAACTGAAAAATATGGACAAATCATATTTTAAAAAAAAAGGAAAATAGTAAGCACATGCACAGGTTTGCATACCAGAAATATACCAGAAGGTAAAAATACTGTGAAACAGGCTTACAGACGGCTCTATGCTCTGTCTTCTATGGGGGTCTATTTAGCACTGCGCCTGGCAAGATAGTCTATCAGCTGACTGACCAGATAGGCACGCTACTGCTAGTGTGCTTGCAAAAGGAACATTTACAAATCTGCAGGGTATGTAAATATAACCACTGTGAAATAATGTAACTTCTTTTCAGGGTAGTCTCAGTATATAGTCCATATTTAATTCAGTATATTTAATTCAGATCCAAATCCTTTTGAGGCGTTCAGAAATTTAGCTTGTAGAAAGAATAGAGAACCAATTTCACCTGGAGTTTTACAAATCAATGGAGTCACGGCCGTGTAACAAGGTAATGAAAACCAAAGGTGTGTCGACTGAGTTGAGGATAAACTCATGAAGACTGTAGATGAAAAAGCAGCAGAATCTTCCGTGAATGAAGTTTTGGGGACAGGAAATATTTTCAGAATCCTTCTCCACTTTCTCTCAAGATTCCTGTATCAGAAATAATGTAGAGATACCTGCTTTTGAGAAGTTTTTAGTTCCTTCTGTGGTCTTGTTGATTTAGAAGGGCTTTTAGAGCCTCGCTGCTGATCTGATCAATCTACAGCACCTTAGGAATCTTTGGTCATATGGAAAGTAACTGACGTTATTGACATTGCAAGAATGTATTTAGGTCCTAAATAAAATTACATCCTTATTGTGCTAATCACTGTATGACCACTTAATAAGAAGCAACCCCTTCCCAAAATGTATGTACTAGGGAAACAAAGAAAGAAAGAGCGCTTATCCAGGATGAGAGGATGGAGAAATGAAGTTTAGAGACTGAAGGACTGATTAAATACCCTCTGAAATCCATGGAAATGCACCTGTTGTGTTTAATCGCCTTTCCTCTTGAGTTCAGAAAAGGGGTAGCTTAGCTGAAGACTGAATTGGATGCACTTCAGTCATGGACCATCACCATAGCTGCAAGGACTTTTTCTCAAAACTGTGTGAGCAGGACATAATGCTGAACAGCTTGAGTGTCAGCCCTAGCCAGTCTGCACCTCCTCTATTATACTCTCATGTTGCAACCCTCTTTCACAAAACTGTAACAAAATAAAACACCATATATGAAAACTAGCATAAGCACAAATGGGACCTTAACCTTAAAAGGAGATGTATTTGCAGATATATTTTTTAAAAAGCTAATTTTTAAAATATCTAGTTGTCTAACAGGATAAATAGCTACTGATTCATTTTTCAGAAGAAATCATGTCCGTAGTAATAGAATCTGGTTGTGTGGTTGTGTACTGCAGTTTTCTCTGCTCTCTAAATAGGATTATTTTTTTATGAGGACATGTGATAGAAGGAATTAACAAGTACATCTCCAAGATTCATCACTTTAGAAACACTCATAATTTCTTTCTCACCAATAACAAACACAGTCTTCCTGCATATGTAAGCAGAAAGAGAGTTTAAAGTAACTAGTACTGCTACCACCAAATCTTTTGGAGAAACAAGTGAAGTTAATATGTATTAATGACTGGTAATATAGAGGTGTTTTTGCCTGACAAAGAAAATATATTTAATAACATCATCAAACAAGTTTAGAGGTCAGGCGCTCACATCCACTAGACAGGGAGTCCTCTTTTGCTTTCCAAGATATGTGCTCTATTCAGCTGAAGTTTGACTTAGGCTTTATGCTAAGATAATTCTCAAGGCAGGAAGCAGCTCTATCACGCAAGGCAATGGAATGTGCCATTTTCTGTTATACACTGTATTTTATGGAGAGGCAGCTGATAAATCTTTAATATGAAAATTCATTGTCTGTTATTTAAATTTTAAATTAGTTTTCATTTAAAAAATTCAAACTAATTTTGCCTGATGCTTTCCCCATTTATGTCTAGTAGACTCTCAGGACCAAGACCACAAGGGAACAGCAGCCATTAAATATAGAAATCTGAATTTTTATTCTCATTCTATGTGGACACATTACTATGTACATTTCAGTTCAAATAGACATCTGAGAAATCCAACTCTGGTCAAATAAAACTTTACATTTACTGAACTTGAGGGTGCATGCATACATTCCTCCATTTAAATGGTCAAGAGTAAATAGCTGTAACATTTGTATAGGTTTCCAAAGGGAAAACATTAGTTTAAGGGTGATACTGAATAATTGATTTTGTTTTGTTTCTGGCCTGGTTAATGGATTATGTACGATACCTGTGATAGATTCATAGGACTACAGTAATTAACTTCAGAAAGCTGCATATGCCTAGAAGAAATTTCAATGAAAAAAAATCTTTTCCTATACAGTTCTATAATTCTATTCATTAAATGAAAAAAAAACAATCCCCCCTCCCAAAAAGAAAAAAAAAACCCTATGACGTTAGCAGCAGGGGTATTCAGTCACTAGAAAAGGAACACCCCATGCAGTCCAGTCATTAACCATAGTCATGCAGAGAGAAACTTAAAATCCTAGGGAGAGGATTTTTTTAGCACCCCACAGATAATAGCAGGTTACAGCAGAAGCTAGTTATTTTATCTGCAGCTGGCTGCAAAACATGATCCATATTCCCAGGGAATTGCTCCCTCCTTATGTCACCTCAGTTCTGCGGTCATGCTGGATGCTTAATGGCCAGTGTGAAATGTTCTTTCAGAGTTCACTACCTGCTGGGCTTGGAAGTGCAAATCTGCACAAGCTGTCCACTGCGGGTAGTCCATTAAAATGATGTTCATTCACTCATGGGTCATATCAGAGGAACAGTTGTCATAATCTGCCTGAGTGAGAAAAGCGCAAAACACTGCTGACTGAAGAAGGTGTATCCACTACCATCAGTAATTTTGAGGGTTATTCTTTTTTAGACTGCTGACATTTAGGTATGCCTTATTACTATTAATACAATGCATTCACCTGCATGCTAGTTAAAATTTCCTTTCCTTTGAAGGTTGCGCAGAAGCATCAGAGATCCGAATAAAATTATTTTTCCTTCCCCACCCTTTCATCTGAAAATCAGTAACTCTGGCAATATCCCACTGACCTGTTGGCAGGCCCTGTGCCCACAGCTGCCAGAACTGTGTCAGCCCATTGGTATATTACTAATTTCTCCTTTCAAAGTGGGCAAAATCTAAGCGTATCTGGAGGTGCAGGATAGGAACAGAACAGTGGCAGAAGGACAACACAGTTTGTAGATCCTGCAAGAGCAGGGTCTGAAAAGTCTCTTGGCCTGATATATCTCAGCTCTTCTTTATACTTGCCTCTCCTTTTTATATGTAAGGGTAAGTCCCAAAACTGATCACTTGAATGGATAGCACCTCCAGCTGGCCCTTTTCCAACAGAGAAGACAGGCTAGCAGATGCTGCTTGCTTAGGCATTTTTATGTAAAGTAGTTTTTTCTTAACCTATGCAGTTCTTAATACCGTTTTACATTGTACTTTTCCTATTCTGATGAGGTTTTTTAAACAGCGACAATATAATATAATGCAATTACTTCCATTAACAGAAAGTTTGTGAGTGGTGGAGAGTACAACCAATTAAAATAAGTGACAGGCAGTATGAAAAGGAGCCAAAGTCAAAAACAAAGAAGAGGCAAAAATGGAGAATTGATAGATCAGTATTAGATACTGCATATAAAGTCTAAACTTATTTTGGACTTTCCTGTGCTGGAATTTGTAGCTTATATATAAACTTTTCAGATAAGCATGGTTCATTTCCAGGGTCTCAATGTTTTCTATTGCCTTCCACTCTCAAGAGACACACTGCTCTTATATCCCTCATTGAACTAGACAGATCCATCCAGCTATCCATCAGGAGGCAAAACTATCTATCTTTCCTCTTGATATGAAATCCGAGCACCTGAGCCTCAAATCATGTAGCAAAAGAAACTACATTTCTTTGCAGGATGCCCAGAATAGCTTCTTGTTTATGTAGATGACTACAGGAGGGAAGATGCATGTGAGACAATTAAGAAAGGAAGAAGTGACATCAGTAATAATATGTGGCACTGTGATTGCCTCTGTTTCTATAAAGTACTAGCAGACAACAGTTAGGTTAAGACAGGAAAAAGTGGCAGAAAATTGCTAGAAGTCATTTACACGAACTTTTATTACTAGAGGCTGGAAGGGGAATATTTCAGGGTTTCACAGTAATTTTATCTGATTTGGCATTGCATTTTCTCTTTAGTCTTCACCTAGAGAGACAGATTTTTATTTTAAAAAACGCCCCACATTGTACCACGTGAGTACCGTTCTGATCACCACACTTTTTTTGCAAGACTGTGCTGAACGAAGCATCCTTACTCAAGTTGCCTTAAAATGGCACTGGCATGGAAATTTTAACTGATGATCTTTGCTGCTAAAATCTCTCCTCATTTTGTCAGTGCCCTGATGTCCAAGGTATTAAAATCAGGTATGTAGAGGTTTTTATTCTCTAAGGATATTACCGCCCAGTAAGATGAAAGAGGTATGAGGAATAGCAAAGGTGTTAGGAAGTGAAAGTGACCCAGACCTCCTCATCCCAGATCCTTCTGGTCATTCTAAATCCAAAAACATCTTTCCAAAATGTTCTCTGTGCTATATCTTAGAAAGCTGTTGACAACCATGCTATCCCTTTACTAAAGCTAAAAGACAGGCTGTGTGATTACAATTTTGGTTATTTTAAAGGACGTATCCTCAATCACTTCCAAGTCATGAAGGTCTCCTAGACCTTACATGGTAAATGCTCAGCAGAGTGTGATCTTCACACATGAAGTTTATAGAAAAATACACTTATCAGAAGTATACTATCATTAACTTAGGAACAGGAAAGAAAATATTTTAAATTGTAAATACATTGGGATTCTTTTCTTTAGGCTTAAGGAAATATCCATTTT